ACAATCCAGTGATTGACATCATGAGCATCGACCCACGCAATTGGGATACGATGACATGCATCATCAACCAAGTCAACGAGCCTGACCACCCGATCCCGTTAGTCGCATCTTACGACAAGCAGAGTCGCCTTTTATGGTAAGCATAGGTTGCTGAAGACCTGTTCAACGCGGATCTTCACGGATTGTGACTGCTGGAAGACTTACCGTGGCATGCCTCACAACTTTTGACATAGATGGCTTTCGCCTTCTCCATCTCGCGTGGCATGATGCTGTCTGTATATGAAGCCTGTGAATGAAACAGGAGGACATTTTGGACACCGTATATGTTTGTTTGTCTGTTGTGTGACGCCGCACTCAGCAGTATTCCAGCTATACGACGGCGGTCTGTACAAAATCGAGTCTGGACCAGACAATCCAGTGATTGATATCATGAACATCTATTCACGCAATTGGGATACAATGACATGCATCAACCAAGTCAACGAGCCTGACCGGCCGATCCCATTAGTCGCCTCTTACCACAAGCATAGTCGCCTTTTACGGCAAGCATGGGTTGCTGAAGACCGATTCTACTGCAGATCTTCACGGGTCCGACACCATATATATATGTATATATACCTTTCAATTTATTCATGATAATAGAAAGGCCATGATTTAATATTTAAAGGTGTGAAAGAAAACATATTCCTCATAAAAAATCCCAGTTTCACACTTGTACTGTGCTGTGTTCTAACGCAGGTAATAAACCTCCACTGACGTCATCCTTTTGTCATTGGAGTTAAAGGGGAAGTGTACACGCAAAATTCACTTTCTTTCTTTTTCTAAACAAAACGCAATTTTAGAATTAGTTAGTATCTGTGTTTGAAAATATACATTCATTTTTTTCACAGTGAAAGTAGGAAGCTCACAATAGTGTTAAAATGATATGCCGTTATGAGGCCTTCGTTTTACGAGCGAAATAGGCCTGAGTTATCCCCCTTAGATTATGACGTAATTGGTGCCAATTCAACTGGGTCCCTGTCTATTCTCAACGCAAAAGATATCAAGGACCAGTTTTCGGTAAAACAACATGGTCTACGACACACTCCGGCGCAGTGGTGACTCAGCATAACACAATTCTGGCTGGCATCTGAGACGCTGTACCTACACCACGTGAAGCGGCTCTAACAAAGCATGATGACGTCATAATGTTTATCAATTGGCACCAATGACGTCATATTGCAAGGGGCATAAGCCATGGTGTTTTTGTTATGGAAATAGAACACTTGGTTAATGTGAAAAATATAAATCGTTTTAATGCAAAAAAATATGTTAATTAAATTTGATGTTTTTTATATTTTTGTCTATGACACTTCTGTGTTAACACTTTTAATGTGGAAAAAGTACAAGAAAAATTGGTTCATTTCCGTGTGAACTTGCCCTTTAACTACGAAAAATGACGTCTTATGACGTCTAGCTATTGTTTTAACGGGTCCGTGTTTTCGTAGAATAACCTCTTAGTAGAAAGTCCTTCTGTCTCAGATTTGTATTTTGCATTCGAACACAATGTATATAACACACAAAACAATTCTAATGTAAAACCTACCTGAAACCTTCGTATACATGTATAGCCTCGTGCGAGAACCATTAGGGAACAGTGAGTGAGTGAGTGAGTTAGGTTTAACGCCGCTTTTAACAGTATTCCAGTTATATCGCGGCGTGTCAGCTTAATGTGGGAGGAAAGCCCGAAGTGATGCAGGTCTCAGACGTTTACCACTTCGGTGAAACCCACGAGCATGGGTATGGTGCTGACAAACCTAGAAACATAATCGGGCCGAACCGGGGTCGAACCCACAATCATAGGTTTCTGGCGTGCCCAAGGGACGCAACTCTGCACAGCGAATCGCGGCGCCTTAGACGACTGGGCCACCCGTGCCCTCTAGGGAACAGCTAGGGACGCAACTCTGCACAGCGAATCGCGGCGCCTCGGACGACTGGGCTACCCGTGCCCCCGAGGGAACAGTGGCCCTGGTAGACCACAATACTTTTAAGAATCTCTTTTCGAGTATAGCGTGAGATATATATTTAAATTTCCTAAGGTTCACGGAAAGTATATTTTTTATTAAACTTGAAATTGTTGATAAATGTTGTTTCAGATTTTTATTTCGGTGTGTGAGGCAGATAAAACACTTTCAAACGGATCTGGTTAAAAATCTAAACACTCGAGGTTGGTGATGAAAGGCGTGACTGACTTTCACTTCTTAGTCAGTTGCACGCTTTCTTCGAATTCGTTTTATACCGCGACTGCTCTATTGTTTCACTATAAGGTATCCCGATTTTTTCCGGGTATTTTTTGCATTTCAGCGGTTTCTATGATGGATCAAACATTTCTCCTCGATTTTGGTAGAAAATGTAAACACTCGGGGGGTCGGGAATCCTTGGGAGATTGGCCGGCGGATAGTTCTACCTCCCTTGTGTTTACATTTTCAACCAATATCAACGGGTCTAACATTCTTTCAGTCCAACTAACGTAAAGTATTATCAGAGATATCTTACCTGGGTGTCGAAAAGCAGAAGCTGTTCAATACCTGTAGATGTGTAGGTACTTCAGTCGGGAAATGATGAATGCACACACCGGTCCTACTGCCCTGGTTTATAGGGGTGGGATGACATGCTTGACCTGTCGACCTTCCATTACCCTCCCGTGAATCTTTAGGACGGCTTTCACCCGATGTCTCAAGGCCTGTGTGGAAAATATAGGGGCCTGCGTAGATGGCTTACGTTAAGGATGTCGGAAGACTGGTCAGTTGTAGGGAGGAATTAGTAATGGCCAGTGGTCAGCGACGCTCGGGTTGTGAGAACTGAGAGCGATTGTTCTTTGGAAAGCAGTTTCATCAATTCGTCTCGCCGGTTGACAACGCCTGCAGCGTTTCGTAACTGGGAACACAAAGTCGTATACGACTATTCTCAACTCTTACGAGGCCGGGTGACGGGTGCTAGTGCAGTGGTGTGTAGCAAAGACCGTCGGCAATAATATTTAGTATAATATACAGTAATATATGTTATTATATTCGAAAAAAGTAAGCAATCAGATGTCCGAGCCGGTTTGTGTGTCAAGTTCGGCCAGGTCTGGTAAATATTCAACTGCCCAATCTGGTCCTATAGAGATTTGTTTGTTTGTTTGTTTTTTGTTTAACCCCGCACTCGGCACTATTCCAGCCGCATAACGGCAGTCTGTAAATGATCGAGTTAGCACCAGACAACCCAGTGATTGACATCATATGATCATCGATCATACGATGAAATTGTGCATCTGGGAAATGAGTTGCCTTGATTTTGAGGGGTATTCATGTCGTCGCTATGTAAGTGCAATAATCTTAAATGCGACGCTGAACCCCATTTCACATCACCTAACATTTCATAGATTCATTAGCGCCATGTTTATTGACTGTAGCCTGTGTGTTTTCTTAGCAGGTTGTGCTTGGCAGGCTTTTGAATGTGATGGTGGCGGTGTGTAAATAATCGACGATCCAGTGATTGCCCCCCCCCCCCCCCCCCCCCCCCCCCCCCCCGGCTGTCTACGGCACTGGTGTGTGTGTGTGTGTGTGTGTGTGTCTGTCTGCTTGAACTAGCCCGGACCACTGCACGTTTTATAGCGCAGCTCACAGATATGCAATGCCGTAGTTTAACAGCTTAATAGTTTAACTGGCCGACCAGTCCTTGTTTTATCCCTTTTTTGCAGAGCACCAAACAGAGAGTCAGGCAGGTTAGCAGCAAGTACCATCTTTCGGTTTAACGTAGAGACACTTAGCCTCTGGAAACATTAAAAAAAAAGTTGTTGAATTATATTAATTTAATATAGTAAAAAGGAGCCCAGAGACTCGTTTTCATCCCGAAAGTGCAGTAATCTACACTTTCCCACTATTATAGACTTACATGAGCTGTATTGGATATATTCGTTTCAGGGTCTGTATGGCAGAGTAAGCATAACCTGCTGGTCCCCTGGCAGAGACCGCCTCCATGGCGTAGTGGATCGAGCGTCTGTCCGGGGGGTTCCATCCTCGTTCGCGTCAAACCAGAAGACGTTCAAATATGGTACTTATTGTTACCCTGCCTGGCGCTCGGCATTAAGGGGATGAAATAAAGACTTGTCGGTTCGGAGTGAATATACTGTGTCTTAGTGGGGTATTCATGTTCAACTGCGTTGTATCTCAATGGTCTCACTATACAATCATGGACGCAACGTTAAACCCGATTGCACACCACATCTCTAGGCAGACCTACCACCTACTCTTTTGTTCTTTTCAATACTGAAATACAATAACTTGGCTTCAGGTTGCACACAAGAAATTCTGCACTGAAGCATACGTTGTGGATCCATTCATATTTATTTGATTCCTCGTCTCAGAGAAATGAATGTCCTGTTCAGGTACTAGTGCCGAAAAACATTAATTCTCTGTGTCATGACATTAAATCAACCCAAAACTTACAGCTGAATGAGTGGTGGTTTAGCAAAGTGGTTAGAGCGTTCGCTCGTCGGATACCCGGGTTCGATTCCCCGCATGGGTAAAATGTGTGAGGCCCATTTCTGGTGTCCCCCCGCCGTGATATTACTGGAATATTGCTAAAAGCGGCGTAAAACCATACTCATTCACTCACTCACTTACAGCTGAATGCTAGATCCCACACTGATCACACAGCGCATCTTTTCATGCTCTCTTTAGATGTTCAGTATCAAGAGAAATCAAAATATTTTTTATGAATAAACAATGAAAGTGCAAAATTGAAGGCTATGGAAAAGGCAACCCAAAACTCTCGCGTGGACACAACCAGTGGTTTAACACACGGCCGTATGTGATCTCTCTTATAATCAGCGTGATACATGTATACCTCAATAATGAATATCAGACAATTGTTTTTTAACCAGATTGCTCGAAAATGCTCGAACAGCGAGGCTAAAAAAGCCAAGGACGCTGATGAAAAATGATGCACAAGAAACAAACGACCCAAAACACACATTGTATATTTCGTATTATTTTATCTTATTTCACAAGGAAAGACCCTACATGGCGTGCATCTGTCACTGAAGCGGTCATTGAGCTTTAGTTATCTCCCTTGAACCAGTCGACTGGAAGGCAAGCCCCGATGGGAAAAACGAGGCTCCGGGAAGTTGCTGGGGGCAAGTTGCTTGTAATTTGTTGTTCTTCATCATGTCCTGTATAGCAGATCCGTCTGAAATATGATCACAGTGGAATCAGAGACTGGACCACGCATCATGTCATTAGAATCAATAATAAACTAACGTCCTTAATGGATCTTATTAAAGTATATTTTATCTTAATTTCAGTGTTTTACGTAAATTGACAGACAAGACATGTCTTTACGCAGAGCGTTCAGTTTGGAAGATGCCATTTACTGCCGTGATGACATGACAGATTAATTACAGTCATATGAATAAATCGGATTTTCCTTAACGTCTTTTGGGGTAGTATACAATAAACAGAAAAAAACCTTGTTAAACCCGACTGCTCCCTTAATTCTCCCGGTGATTAACATATGATGACAAGGTTAGGGCGACAAGGCTGCTTGTGTGTATATATATGTGACCCGAGATGAATTTCACAAATATGTTAGGATAAGATACAACACTGTTTGACTTAAATGACACTCCACACAATATATGTAACAATATGTTTGACTTAAATGACACTCCACACAATATGTTACAATCTGTTTGACTTAAATCACACCCCACTCAATATATGTAACAATCTGTTTGACTTAAATCACGTCCCACGCAATATATGTAACAATCTCTTTGACTTAAATCACACCCCACTCAATATATGTAACAATCTGTTTGACTTAAATCACGCCCCACGCAATATATGTAACAATCTGTTTGACTTAAATCACACCCCACGCAATATATGTAACAATCTGTTTGACTTAAATCACGCCCAACGCACTATATGTAACAATCTGTTTGACTTAAATGACACTCCACGCAATATATGTTACAATATGTTTGACTTAAATGACACTCCACGCAATATATGTTACAATATGTTTGACTTAAATCACACTCCACGCAATATATGCAACAATCTATTTGAATGAAATGACACACCACACAATATATGTAACAATCTGTTCAAATGAAATGACACACAACGACATACATGTATATGTAACAATTTGTTTAAATGAAATGACACCCCATGCAATATATGTAACAAACTGTTTAAATGAAATGACACCCCACGTAATATATGTAACAATCTGTTTCAATGAAATGACGCCCCACGCAATATATGTAACAAATTGTTTTACTTAAGTGACACCCCAAGCCATATATGTAGCAATATGTTTGACTTAAATGACACACTACGCAATATATTTAACAATCTGTTTGACTTAAATGACACACCACGCAATATATTTAACAATTTGTTTGACTGAAATGACACCCCACGCAATATATGTAACAATATGTTTGACTTAAATGACACACCACGCAATATATGTAACAATCTGTTTGAATTAATGAACAATATGTTTGACATAAATAACACTCCACGCAATATATGTAACAATATGTTTGACTTAAATGACACCCCACGCAATATATGTTACAATCGGTTTGCCTGAAATGACACCCCACGCAGTATTCGTGAAAACCTGTTGTACTTACTGTGGCATGAAGTACAACTCTGGACATAGACGCTCTTCGCTTTTTCCATGTCACGTGGCATGATGTTTGTCTGCTGTGTTGCTCTGAAGGGGAAATATTTACAATTATATTAAAGATCTGGAAAGAAAGAGAGTGAGAGAGAGAGAGAGAGACTGAGAAAGAGAGACTGAGAGAGAGAGAGAGAGAGAGAGAGAGAGAGAGAGAGAGAGAGAGAGAGAGAGAGAGACTGAGAGAGAGCGAGAGTCTGGACGTACCTGTGCTGTTCAGATGAGGGTTTTTCAAATCTCTCTCACATGTATCGTCCTATATAAGGCTGTACAGCAATTGTCATCATCTTGTATTAAAGCATTAACCCGCCAACAAACAACAAATGAAAGATACTCAGCTTTATTGGTAGTTGATTGTTGGTATTACACAGCTGGGAAATGAGTTCCATTGATTTTTAATATTAACTGTTTAATTAGATTCATTTCACAGACATGGAGTACACGCGATCTTGCGTTCTTTTAAAAAAATCATCGACGCCATATGGTACTAGTATTTGACTAAAGCCCGCGTTTCTACACAGAGGATACCTGTAATTAAGGTGGGGATGGAGCCTGAATGTGATTGAGGTGTGAACGTTTTTCACCACATGCATTCCATCGGGTCAAAGAATGTGGCTGCATTAGATATTAGATTACAGATTATATATTCTGCCTTCAGATATCACGTGTAAAAGAATAGTTTTTAGTTATAGTTTCATATTTTATATTTCAATTCCAGATCATGTTGTTTTTTTCTGTGACCAGGGTGGATCCAGGGTTCTAGGGTGACAGAGGGCCAGAAGAATGTCCGTGATATGTGTGTGTGTGTGTGTGTGTGTGTGTGTGTGTGTGTGTGTGTGTGTGTGTGTTTGTGTGTGTGTTTCATAAGACCAAATCGTCTAATTTAGGTAGATTCTAAATAAGTATGGGCTGCCATTTTGCAGCAATAGTTTAGATATCAATTTATCACAAACGTTCAAGAAGACTTATTCTCTCTGCTATTTATAAAGGTAACCAGTTGTGACTGGTGTGCGGACGGGGAGAAACATGTTTTAATATGGTGTTCAAGAAATTTAAGAGTCCAATCCAGTTCATATAATCACTAAATGATTTGTTTGTTTCTTTGTTGTTTAAAGCCGCACTCAGCAATATTCCAACTCTATGAGGGCGGTCTGTAAATAATCAAGTCTGGACAAGACAATCAAGTGATTGATCTCTTGAGCATCGAACCAAGCAATTGGGATACGACGAAATGCATCAACCAAGTCAGCGAGCCTGACCCCCCTCTTGCGACAAGCATAGTCGCCTTTTGCGTCAAGCATGGGTTGCTATTCTACCCCGGATCTTCACGGGTCTATGGAGGATAGTATTGACTTAGTTGTGTTCAGGCTCTTTAGAATAAATATATCTGTATTTTAAAAGTAAAACAATGATTTAACAACATTTTCATCACTTTTCACATGTTTGCTTCATCGAGGTGAGGGTCGGATAGCTCCTATACAAAGCCTCCAAGGAAGGCACAACGTCTTTGGTTTGCAGTGGAAATGCCTTGGCAGTGTCCGTAAGGCATATGTTATCGGTGTCCTCTTTGTGGGTGTGAAAGAGGGTGATATAAAGACGTTGCTGGGTCATGGTACTTCTAAGGTATGTGTGTTCAGTCTTCTAAGACACATATTCAGCATCTCTCCCGAGGCAAGCGCGTTCACTAGCATATATCAAAGCCTCGTTTCTACCCTTGCCACATCAAAGGCTCGATCGTGGGCCCACCTCGGGTAGATCAAGAGTTGGGCCCCTTTTAATGAAAACGTGATGTCCAATCAGATCGCTCTTCTTATCTCGTATTGCTTAACAAAGATGGCGACTACCAAAGACGACGACCAGGTCGATCCGATATCGAAAACATTCGCGATTTCATCCCTGACAGGCATACAAAGACAGTCGTTGAGGGGTTTAAAAGATAGAAAAAACATTTACATGTCCAAAAAGATAGGCAGCAGCAGCACTTTTATACGAATATGTACCGGTCGTGTTTGAAAGACTGACAGTTCTCATCATTGCACTGCTTACAAGCACGGCACAGAAAAATACGTTTATAACGAACACGCTTATAACGAACTGACTGATATAACGAACTTATCTTTTAGACCCGGCCATTTTGTGTATATATGCTGTATATATGCTTATAACGAACTACGGTTAATACGAACCAAAATTTCGTGGTCCCTTTAAGTTCGTTATAATCGAAGTTTACTGTACTTAGTTTACTGGGCGAGTTGATTTATAATTTTAAATGCTTGTCTTCGCTTTATTGTTGATAGAACTTTAGCGCAAATTCGGTAAGTTTGTATTCGGAACCCGGATGTTGATTTTGTGAAACGTTCCCTGATTGAACTATCGATGTGCTATACTCCAATCGTATTTAGCACAGGAAAGTGGGCTTCGTGTGGCAAGGGTGGGAACAAGACTTTGATAAATAGGCTAGTGGCCGCTCTTGCCTCGCACGATGTTATTGTAGTAGTGACTGGTATTGTCAGGTAAATCTTGTGTGTCGTGACAACTTCAGTGCACATGCCCATCAAGACCCACGAAGATCCGGGTAGGCATAGGTCTTCAGCAACCCATGTTTGCAGTATGAGGCGATGGTGCTGATGATGAGGATCGCTGACTTGGTTGATGCAACATAATTCTCGTTCTTAATAGTTGCTTCAATAAACATGTTTAAATGTTCAAAAAGTGTCACATCAATATCATTGAAATAAGATCTTAGTGCTCGATACACAATGATCTGAGGACATCCCATTACAGGTCACGTCAGCAAGAAGAGGAACACAATTTGTTCCTATGGGGGTGCCTACCTCTTGCCTAAATGACATTCTGGAATATTGAATTATTATAATATTTTTTGATGGACCATTCCTCAATACCATTACCAAATTTGACAAAATTATGATGGACAGTTTGAATAAAAATCGGTCAATGGCCTTGAACGTAAATCGTGCGTGCATACAAGAAAACAACTAGAAACACGGTATGACCATAATGAGATTTCATACTGTCACCTGGTACACTCTGTATAGACACCACGGTATCTAATTATCACGAGTAATAACCGTTTTAATGTGGCAGTAAACTATAATTGTTCATGTGTACATCAGCTAACATGGTATTTGTAATAAGAGTTGGATGATTAATTATGATCTGATTCTCATTTTATTATATTTGATACGTTTATTGGTATATTAGTTTACAACGAAGTAAAATTAATAAGAAGGTGGAGAATATAATATGTAAATGTCTGGATCAATTATTAACAATCTAGTTTTACAATGCAGGATGTACAGAAGCATTTTGATTGTCGTTGTTCAGCACCGTAATGAAATTTAAGGATGCAAACATTCATATTACAAGCATACCAGAATGTAAACTGTATTTTGGAACCAGAAATATAGTTGTTAAATGTTCAGAGTAAATATTTTTAAAAATTGTCAGTAAATGTTTAAATAGAAAAAGAACAAAACTGTGTAAGTACTGTTACTCATTTGAAACATATCGTTAAAGGTTAATCACATTTTTTAATTGCCTGTCCAATATACAGCACCCACAGGAATTAGTACCTTCAAGGTGTAAAGGGAAACCTTACTTTTAAAATGTCATGGATTTGTGTAAAAAGCAAAAGGCCACAAAACTTGGTATCAGTTCCATTGTAGTTCTGTTGCGAGGCAATACTGGATTGAATATAATGAAATATCGTTGCAAGAATGTCATGTTATAAGAAGGTTTATGTGAAGAAAGCGTGCTGTTGTGTTCGTATGTTTAATATACCTTGTATTAAGGAGTCGTGTCGGTTGCAGCAAAACCATGCCACTGTGTTTAGCAGTTGGTTGGTTGGTTGGTTGGTTTGTTTGTTGTTTGCAACAAATGGCCGGGTCTAAAAGATGAGATTGTTATATCGGCCAGTTCGTTATAAGCGTGTTCGTTTTAAACGTAGTTTACTCTTCTGTGAGCAGTGCGATGATGAGAACAGTAACTCAATTAAAAACGACCGGTATATATTCGTATCAACGTGCTTTACCGCTGCCTATCTTTTTGGACATGTAAATGTCTTTTCTATCTTTAAACCCCCAACGACTGTTTTTGTATGCCTGTCAGGGATAAAATCGCGAATGTTTTCGATATCGGCTCGACCAGGTCGTCGTCTTTGGTAGTCGCCATCTTTGTGAAGTCATACGAGATAAGAACAGCGATCTGATTGGACCTCGCGTTTTCATTTCAAGGGGAACAACTCGTGATCTACCCGAGGTGGGCCCACGATCGAGCCTTTGATGTAGCTCTTGCCCCGGGAGCGATGCTGAATATGTGTCTTAGACGACTGAACACACATACCTTAGAAGTACCATGACCCAGCAACGTCTTTACATCACCCTCTTTCACACACACAAAGAGGACACCAATAACATATGCCTTACGGACACTGCCAAGGTATTTCCACGTGCAAACCAAAGACGTTGTGCCTTCCTTGGAGGCTTTGTATAGGAGCTATCCGACCCTCACCTCGATGAAGCAAACGTGAAAAGTGATGAAAATATTTTGTTAAATTTCAGCTTAAAAACCACTTCACATATGTCACTCATTGTTTTACTTTTAAAATGAAGATATATTTATTCTAAAGAGCCTGAACACAACTAAGTCAATACTATCCTCCATAGACCCGTGAAGATCCGGGGTAGAATAGCAACCCATGTGTGCCGTTAAAGGCGACTATGCCTGTCGTAAGAGGATGGTCAGGTTGATGCATGTCATCGCATCCCAATTGCTTGGTTCGATGCTCGAGAGATCAATCACTGGATTGTCTGGTCCAGACTTGATTATTTACAGACCGCCCCCATAGAGTTGGAATATTGCTGAGTGTGGCGTTAAACAACAAACAAACAAACAAATCATTTAGTGATTATATGACTCTTAAATCTCTTGAACACAATATTAAAACATGTGCCTCTCCGTCCGCTCACCAGTCACAAATAGCAGAAAGAAAGAAATCTTCTTGAACACATGTTATCGTTTGTGATACATGTATATTGATATTTTGAACATCTTAATTATTGCTGCAAAATGTCAGTCCATACTTATTTAGAATCTACCTAAATTAGACGATCTGTTTTTATGAAACTACGGCATGGCATCTCGGCATCTCGGTGAGCTGCGCTATAAAACGTGCATTAGTCTGGACTAGCACACCCACACACACCCACACACACGCACGCACGAGAGAGGGCACACACAGAGCACACACAGAGCACACA